GAATGACGCGCGATTCGAAGCACGTGTGACCGATTCGTGTGTTTTATGCTGTATTGCAAAATCAATTGCTATATTATCTACGCATAAACGTGCAGATCGAACTTAACCTCAAAGTCGAACGGATTCATCATTTCTTCACTTAGGATTATATTTAGGGGTGTATAATTATTTTTATTTTATTCAAAATTAACGGGCTGAAATATATCTTAGATTATACAGTATCCATGTGTTTTTTATTGTATGTAAATTATTTTTGAGTGCATTTTTTGAAGTCTCTATTTATGATGATGTTAATAGTTTTAAAAAAAAAATCTTGACAATGTTTATTTAACAGTGACTGTGACAAAAAAAATTGGTTCACTTGTTGCTATGTTATTCGTTAATCCCAGAATGCAAAGTGAGAAGAAAATAGATCCGAAAGAAATGATATAATTAGTATGGTAGGCATACGTAAGTAATATAAGTCTGTGATGCGTCGACGTGTATTCTCATCGTATCCAATCATCGTGTATAATTGTTTTATTTCCTCGTTATTGCGTCATGAATTTATTCGAAAGAAAATGCATTTATCATAATCTTTGCATTGCGCATCATTGATTCTTTCATATTCTTGTGAAAATATTAATTAAATGAGCAATTGCGTAATGTTATTGATAATAAACGTAAAAATATGTACGCGTAAATGTTTTTTTTTTTGAAATTTTAGTTGTAAATATTTGTATATATAAATATCTATTAGATATTATATAAAATATTATAAATTATGTAGATAATTTAATTTAATTACATATATTTATTAAGTTATATATAAATATTTATTTTAATAATGATAATTATAGAAATTATTTATAATTGTGCTTCAATATTTTATGTAATTAATATTTATAATGCATTATATTTATCTGTTATTTATTGTGCATCTTTTCTTCAATTTTTTCAGGTTAAATGTTACCAAAATATATATGATCTAAGACATGTTAGTGAAACAGTCTTGAAATGTTTCGTAGTTTACCAGATAGGGTGGCAGGGCTATATTATGCCCATGGCCTGTTTTGTTCATCTCATCCTGTTGCAGTCATTTCATTAGCAGTTTCAATTATATTGCTATGCTGGTTAGTATTCCTTTTTTTAAATTTTATATTCATTCATAATTCAGTGGATAAATAGCAATTAAAAACAAATAATATTATTCTAATTACTATTTTTTCTTGTAGCTATCCTTTGATTAATTTACCAATGCCTGGCAATACGCCACGAACTATAATCAATCATACCATTGTACCTGAAAACAATACAGAAAATTCTGTGTTTTATGTACAACAAGTGATATTAAGAGTTGGAGTTGTACCATGGACAGAGGAGTTAACATTGATGGATGCTTTTAGAGGTCCACTTTATGAAGTTTTTAATCTTTTAGAGATTATACAGAATTATCAACATCCAAAAACGTAAGTTATTTGTGTTTCATAGAATTTTGGTTTATATATTTATTATATATTTATCTTTATTATTATATTTTTAGATTAAAAACACTTGATCAAGTATGTTTGCATATTGAAGCAGTTAAAAAAAGAAATGGAAAAAAGTCAGAAGTTTTGCCAGAATATAATTGTCTTGTTCTTTCTCCTGCAAATTTATGGCAACGAAGTATTGAACTTTATGCACAAGATACAAATCTTATAAATACTATATATTCTTATCAGGTATGAACAAGATTTTTTTTAGAACAATTTAGAAAAATTTTATATATATACAGTTTTAATTTTTGGGTTAGTTATAATCCAAAAATAATAAATTTTTCAAAAAATAATCTATTACAATTATATATTATAGAATCTACAAAAAGGTAAAATTAGTTTAGCAGAGATAATGTTTGGTATGAATCTTAAAGAAACAGGAATAAAAAGATATCCAATGCGAATTAGACAAAGAATTTTACAATATGCAGTAACTATTTACTTAAAAAACTATGATCCTGAGTAAGTACTTAATTGATAATAAATATTATTTATTTATTATATTTATTGATTATATGATTAATTCAATTTTTAGATTTATAAAAGGATTACAATATAGATTAAAAAATTATTATCATCTTCATCAAATAGAAAGTGAAAATACTACCAATATTTCAACAGATGAAACATTACATATCTTTTATCCTGGTGAATTTAATTACAGTGATTTTTTTCCATTGATGATGACATTTTTTGCTTTGTTTTTTTATATTTATTTCTCTGTGCGAAAAATAGAATTAGTGAAATCAAAAGTTGGAATAGCATTTGGTGCAACTGTAACAGTGATAGGTTCACTGTCTATGACTGTGGGTGTATGCTTTTTTTTTGGCTTAACTTTAAGTCTGAGTGGAAAAGAAGTGTTTCCCTATTTAGTGATTATCGTAGGATTAGAAAATGTATTGGTATTAACCAAAAGTGTAGTGAGTACTCCAGCACATTTGGATGTAAAAATACGAGTTGCTCAAGCTTTGTCCAAAGAAGGTTGGTCCATTACTAAAAATCTACTTACAGAAGTAACAATCTTAACAATTGGATTGTTCACTTTTGTGCCAGCCATACAAGAATTTTGTATATTTGCTATTGTGGGATTAGTCAATGATTTTTTTCTTCAAATGGTTTTTTTTTCCACAATTCTTGCTATTGATATCAAACGAACTGAGCTCTCTAGCGAAACATCTAAATTTCATTTTCCAAATATACCAACCACACGTAAACAGCAATTTACGACGACAATAACAAATAGAAAACCGAATATTTTTCGATCAAAATCTTATCCAAGATTAAATGGTTTATCTAATGGTCCGACAACTGTCATAGCTCCAAATACACAGAACACTCATACATTAGCTAAAATTCCAAAGCGATTACGCCTAGTACATTTTTGGGCAAGAACACGAATATTTCAGCGTGCATTTATGGTATGGATGGTTGTTTGGATTAGCATGATCGTTTACAATTCTGGCATTGTTGAACATGTTATACACTTAAGTGAAACATTAAAATCAGAATCAGATATTGATGGATACACAGTAGAAAGATCTCAGTCCTTAAATAATTATATTGAATTAAATAGTATAAAACCAGTATCAATACCTTCAACAATAATTACTTCAGATCACTTAAATAAACAGGTAATTTAAAAATCATTTATTTATTATCTTATTTAAGTCCTAATTGTGTGGAATTTTCAGAATATAAATTTTAATTTACCACATTTTGTTATACATTAGGATGATCTAACAAATAATATTACTGATGAATTAAATAAATTAAAACCAATGGAATTTCCACCTTGGAATCGTTTATCTCTTTATCATTGGTCTTCAATTCTTTCAATGTATAATATCTCTGCCGCCGGAGGACGTATAATTATATTACCTGCTGTAAAATTATCTCATGCAGTCAGTACACAATTAGTGAAACAAATCAGTAATCCAAATGATGTACAACATTTTCAATGGCAGAGTTTTGCAACTGCTGCTCTTGATCCGTTAGACTTTTTAGGTATATAATTATAACATAGAAAAATTATTGATTAAATTGATTAAATCATTTAATCAGCCAATTACAAATTCATTACAGATGTGGAATTACCAACTAGATCTGAAAGTCGAGGTTTTAATGCGGATACTCCTTTTATTCCTTCTAGTCCAATGGAAATATTCTTAGCAACAGTGTTGTGTCTCATTAGTATCATTGTTGTTGCTTACACAATGGTTGTTCTTTATAGATGTGTTTGTTCAAGAAACTATGCTGAATGGCGAGCTAGTTGGTATCAACCAGAGAAAGCTCCTGATTCAACAACGCAATTAGTCCTAGAAGCATTGCCTATAGTTCTTGAAGGCCATATTCAAGAAGTGGAATGCATTGCTACAGATGGCAATACTATAGCCAGCACATGTTTAGCTGGCCATATTAGAGTATGGGATGCGACGTCAGGCGAACAGTTGGTGCATGTAGACAGAAAACAATTCTTTAGTAATCCCTACAAAAGTTTAAGTCACAAAACGCCAGATGTAGATGAATTAATGTCAGATTACGAAAGTGGTTCACCACCCTCAAGAGGAGAAATGGAAAATACCAATTCATTTGGATTGTATTCGGCAGCGTCGACTATTCATTATAGAAAATCTTCTCCTGGATTATATAATATGCATAAAGGACAGAATTATATTAGCAAAAGAAATTCAATGGGAAACACATTGGATTATGATTATCAAATTAATGAATTTAACTTGGAAAGAAAGAAAAGCGCACGTAAAAATTTAGACAATGTCTATGATCTTCCAGATTTAAAATCAGCAATAAATATTAAATTTTCATCCATGAAACAGTCTCCAGTACAACAAAATTGTGAACGAGGATTCGATTTTGGTGATCAATATAAACATCTCTTTGAAGAACATAATAAGTCTATGGATGAACTGCGAAATTCAGAAAGTTTAGAACATTTATGTAATACTAATGGAAAATTAAATTCATCTTATGGTTTAGTAGATAATATATCTATATTGAATACAGATAAAAATGTGCAAATTGCACATATAGTATCTCCCATTTGGTGCATGGACTATCAAGAGAATCTTATAGTCGTAGGATGTGCAAATGGAAGTTTAGAATTTTGGGAAGGTACTACGGGTAAATTTAAGGTAAATATAAAAAAAATTAATATTAATATAAATATTAATATTTTTAAAAAATTTAAATATTTCAGTGTTTATTTGATGATGGATCAGGACTTGGAATATCTGCTGTGAAATTCATAGGTAGTAGAGTAGTAGCAGCTAAATTAAATGGCTGTATTGACTTCTTACAACTGGAAAGATATAGCGAAGGTCAACAAATTCATTGGGGCTTCACATCTTATAGAAGAAGTAAATTTATTTTGCAATTTCGCATATATTATACTATTATTTAGATATAAATTTTTATATTATCTTCTTTTTTTTTAGCGCATGTTAGAACAGGAAGTGCTGGTTCACCTATGGATATAAATAACATTATACAATCTGAAGAAGATCTTCGTTGTATGAAAATTGGTTCTCATAAAGCACATCAACAGGCAATAACTGTACTCGATAGTGAGGGTGGTCGTGTTTTAACTGGTAGTCAAGATCATACTCTAAAAGTATATAGGTATGAATTTTATTATAATTTTATTATAAAAATTTTACTAAATATTTTTCTTTTATATTAAATTAAATTTCAGATTGGAGGATCAGTTACCATTGTATACTCTTCATGGTCATTGTGGTCCTATATCTTGTTTATTCATTGATAGAATGAGTCCTATGACTTCTGGTAGTGGATCTCAAGATGGTCTTTTATGCGTCTGGGATCTTCTAACTGGTATCTATTTTATATTTTAAATAAAATATAATTTTTTACAAAAAATTTACATTTTTATTTTTATTTGTAGGAACATGTATGTATAGTATTCAAGCTCATGATGGTGCTGTGGCAGCTATGGCGTGTTCCGTATCATATGTAATAAGCATTGGTACCGATGAGAGATTGTGTGTATGGGAACGATTTCAGGGACATTTGCTACATACTCTTCCAGCACATAGATTTGCTTATAGTTTGCAATTAGTCATGTTGACACATCATCTACTCATAACCAGCAATCAGGTACATGTTTATGTTTTTTTGTTTTTTCTATTTTTCCTAATACTTAGTAGTAACTTTTGTTCTATACATATTACTCAACTCTTTTAAAAATACAAAAAAAAATGTTTCTGACTTTAATGATTTCAGGGATCACTAGTAGTTTGGGACGTCCGAACTGGGGAACCAGTGCGAGAAGTAAGGTTGGGTCATAAAGATAGTTGTATTTTTGTAAAGCAAATGTTAGTGTTAAGGGATAGTGTAGTATGTGATTTTGGTCGACAATTGCGAATAGTTAGGTTCCCATTAGTTTCCGATAAATTAGATTAAGATATCTGTATATGCACTATTGTATATAGCTATTTCGTTTCGTATTTAATTTTAATATTTGAAAAAAATCCTATCATTTATGGGGATATAGATTTTTACATGATGTACATTTTATATTTAAAAACTATCATATACGCACTTTTAATATGAATTTTTTTATATTACTGACGTCATAGCCTTATATAATAAGTATTCTACTCTATTGTGACAATTTAAGAGATACACAAATATATTTATCTCTTCTCACTAGTATATGTAGATGAAGTATTATAGAAAATTTTAATCAATTTTCGGAATCATTTATATATACATGTATACATTTAAATCGGAAGTACTATAAAATGCAAAAAATATATAGTTAAAGGCAATGATACAAAAATAAAATTAAAGTAAATCATATTTTTAGATAATTGGACTAGAAAAGCTTTTGATATCTCCGTTAATTGTCAAAAAAAAAAAAAAAAAAATGGCTGTGCTATATTTCGAAGTATCCGTTCTGTTTCACAGCGTGATTTAGAAGCATTTTCATATAGATGATGATTGTTATCTTTTTTTCTATTTATGATTTTTTAAAACAGATTCGACGTACGAAGAAGTTGCATTTGTTAAACTGGAATTGTTAAACACAGATATGAGCTGGATATCACTTCTGTGTTAGAAAAACAAATATATAATAGTAATGATAATTAATTATGAGATCATCACATAAACAATACGTGTATTGATTTATTAAAGTAAAGATTCAAATTCAGAATTCTTATTAATATTAAACAAAGAATTTATATCGAGTATCAAATGTTTAATATATAGAGAGATCTATTTTTGTTTTTATGCAATTTTATTACACGGTCTAAGAGTGCCTTTATTCCTTTTATATTTAGTCCAACTAAATAAAAAAATATTATAGTAAAGGACTGTGGAAATCACAATTATGAATAAAGCCTCTTTATAACATCAAAAAAAATTTTCAAATTTATAATTACGTAAAATTATAAATGTATATTATTAAATATTGATTCATTTAAAACACTGATAAAATAATAATTTAATTTCATCAACTAAAAGTTCCTTATAATATTATATTGAGTTGAACTTTTTAAATGAAATTTTTAGGAAAATTTAATCCTATGTATCAAAATATATAATCCTCTTTAATTTATCTATCTATTTTTGTAAAGAAAATTAATTATTCTCAAACGAACTAAATGGGTCCTATTTTACATATAAATATATAATGTAATATAATGTAATCATAAAAAATTTGACAAAAGTTTAAACTATCTTTCTATTTCATGATTCATTATAATTAAAAAAAAAAAAGAAAATATATGTACATTTGTGACATATTTAGAATGCACTTATGTAATGATATGTGCATATCGAGCCAATGTCGTATTTTTCTTTTGGATGAATAATAAATATTCATCTAAAAGAAAATTGTGTGCAAAAGCGTTCCATTTGAATAGCCCACGTGTGAAAAGCTATATAATATAAAATTATTGTTGAAGAAACTGCGTTTATTGTTGTAGAAAGAATTCTTAACAATTAGCTGGTGTACATTTAAAAAAAATTTCACAAATTCGGTTATACAATATATACAATATTAAGCTTAAAAGTATCCTCTTATATGCTAATGACTATGTTTCTAATTATATGATACATAATAATATTTAAACTTTTATTTATATAGCGATTATTCTTAATGATAAAAAATATAAGATTTTTAAAAAATAAAAATAATACTTGTCATAAATAAAGCAACTTTGAAATTTTTGCATAAATATGTATCCAGTTGATTGTCATGAAATTCTTTATTTGATTTTGAAGTTTGGCATGTGTGTTATGAAATGAATGTTAAAAATAGTAATCTATATATCTTTAGACTGAATTGTATAATGATTCATATTAACATGTAAGTCTCTTTTATTTTCTGATATATTTAAGATAATTAGTTTGATCATTGATCTATAAAATAGAGATATATTTTTCTCAACCAAAGTTCTAAATCATATCAGATCATGACATGTTCATATTCGATTTATTAATTGAAAGATATTAAATAAATAAGATAAAATGATTAAAAAAGAAAAAAAATGCTTCTAACAGCGTAACAGTTGGCTAATGTTTATTTAGGACTTTACATGATTTTTATATTTATTTAATTTAATATATGCAGATATGTCTTATAATAGATATACTGTTCTTATGTTAATAAATTTTCACATTTATTAGATCTTGATCTATTTTCATCTTTCACTGTTATAATATCTCAAAATAAATTCAATGTATGGTTGATAAATCTTTCTATTCACAAAATAAATAAAATTAATACAGCTTATTAAAAGATATTTTTCTAAAAGATAGAAATAAAAATATTTTTCCTAAAAATATATAAATATTATGAAATATATTTAAAAAATAATAATGATATTATATTAATAAGTTTATTTTAAAAAAGTTATACTTTAATCAATAAATATAATATAATGGGGAATTATTATAGTGTTAATAATAATCTGCATATGGTGGAACTTTCCTTTAGATAAGGATTGATCTGACATATAAGTAATAAGTGATTAATTCCATGCATAATATCAGATGCATATTAATCATTTTTTGTACTGAATAATATCATATAAATGTTCAGTAACATATAATCTTCTGACATGTATATATTTAATATTATACATAGTGCCATATTTTCTAATTAATATTTTTGAAATTAGAATATATAAGTATAAGATTAAAATAAAATTAAATTATAAATAATAAACTGGTTTTATTGGTATTAGAATGTATCAAGATATTTTCATACATATTCAAAAGAAAATAATGTGTATTCCCAGCAAACTATTAATATCAAAGATATAATTTTTTTTAGAATATTTCATTTCTTTTTACTTCATTTCATTTTTTATTTTACAATAGTTTTAAAATACTGAGATCATGCATATAAAATTAATTTTTTAATGTTGTCAAACTTTTTTATTTTTACATATTATAAATTCTACATTATTTAGTTACTTGTAAAATTAATTGGCAGATAAAATAAAATGAAAAATTTTCCATATTTTGATTGAATGATAATAAACAACAGATATTAAAAACAACATATTGTTGCTAGAACAAATAATATTGTAATAATAACTTAATGAATTGATTTTTTTTAATTAATTAGTTATTATCCATTTAATGCAATCTAATTATAACTGCAGAGTATTCAATCTGACTATTAAATGATAAGCAGATCATTCATATTTCATGTTAATTAATAATTCAATGAAATATAATTTTTAATTTTTGAAATAATTATTTGATATAATGATATTTGATAAATATTTAATGTAAAATAATATAACATATTTCTAACAACTTTAATGAACTTCAAGGCCACAAAAAAGAATTTAAAAAGTAATTTCTAATATTTTATAAAATTTTGAAATATTTATAATAGATAAACATTCAATATTATTACAGAATATTCTATTTGATTTAATTAAATTTTAAAAGTTAGAAAGAATTCTTCTTCTTCTTTAATAAAAATAAATTTATAATATTTTGAATACTATATATATCCAATTTGAGCAACCTGATAGTACTAACTACTTGTTACCTGTTATTGCAACAGAATCAATTCTATCCAATTCTCCATTCAAGTATGTTCATTCCCGCATCACTACCATTAACACTTTTTTTCATCATCGTTATTCAGCTGCCAGATCTTACTGATCAATTTGCAAAAAAGATTAACATCGGTTCTTGCCCCGTTTATAACTAAACAAAGACTAATAGTAAAGTTAGATGCAAAGAATATTCGCAGAGAGGGGCAAGCCACGTGTATTCGTTTATGAAAGCTATTGTGTAAACGCGCATTTAGTGGAGGAGGAATTATATATACACATGAGTTGCTCACTTTCGTTGGTCATTTAGTGTGACTGACAACAGTCTAGCGGAGGATTAGGCTGTTGTCATCTCGATTTCCGAACGGAAGTCATTGTGCTTGATTCACCTAGTCTTTCCTTATTTACTTGAACTTAGTCAAAGATCAGATGATCAGTTCCAGCGCAGGAATTAATAAAATGAAGTACAAGATAGGATAGTTAAATTTGGTGTTTTCATATTATTTATATTTCTATATTATTCGACATAATCGATATTTTTGAACAGTTTTCTAATTGGAATTGATTGGAGAAGAGGAAAGTATCACGAATGATGTTTACAACTACGGTTTTTTCAATACAAAAATTATGGATGAAAATCGGGGTGAATGATCTGTGAACCACTCATTATATTTTGAAGTCATCAAATGCATAAGTAGTGGCTAAATTTTTGATTAATTTGAATTCTTCGTGGTAAATTAATGGATTTTGGAAGTAAAAAAAACTGGATTCGTGAAGGTGAACTAGATAAGAGAAAGTAAAGAGAATTGATACTGCTTTATACACCTGTGACTGTGATGAAAATAAAGTGAAAGGTTTAATGGATAAAAACATTTGGAAAAGAAAATATATGAAAAAAAAATTTGAAGAAAAGATTACGGAAAAATGTGAAAGATTTAAAGAAAAAAGAAAAATATAATTATTTAATACTTTTATTAAAAAAACTAGTCACTTGTGAGATCATTTTTACATTTAATTTCAATATCATCTTTTTTTTTTATTTTAAGAAGAAGAATATTAATTAACTTTTTGTGAAAACGTTAAAAACATATTCAGCGGTATTATTATTCCAGTTTTCTGAGTTTTTTTTTTTGAAGGCGTATAAAAAATTTTATACGAAAATATATAAATATTTGTAGAAAACGTGTCAAACAAGGAATGCAAAAATAATTTCCATAGCAAATCGAAAATTGCGTGTAATCAATAACATATCGATCAAAAATGACAGAGTCAAAAAACAACGATAACACCAGGTATGTAATTATTTAAAATTTTTTATTTCTTTATATAATATAAAAAAAATATAAAATAATTATTATATAAAAAAAATCATTACAAACGAATAATTATTTTATTTGTTTATTTTTTTTTCTTTTTTTTTCCTAATAATTACTAATCTAATAATTTTTTATTAGATTAATAATTAAAGAATTAGTAATTATTAATTTTTATTAAATTATTGATATTTGATTTAACTATTATTATTAATTGCAATATTTAAATAAAAAAAATAAATGGATAAGTATACAGTTATTTTATTTAATATATAATTGGGTACAATATAGTATATAATAGTTTTTTAAATGCGTTCATTATTAAAAAAAAATATAGAGAAAATTTTCCATGTTAAAATAATAAAAACGAATAATTACAATATTCTAATTTTAAATATATAGTAAAACAAATTTTTTTGTTATATTATTAAACAAAATTCTTATTAAATATTATTACTTAAATACTATTAAATATTAGTACTGAATATTTTTAAAATATTTTATAATTTTCTTTTTTATGATATTTTAAAATTATCAAAATTTTACAGTGATAAAAATTTTAATTTACAATTAATTTTTCATTATTTAATTTTTTATTTAATTTAATTTTTTCGAATTATAATCTTACTATTAAAATCTTAGGTCTATAAATATAAAATCTATTAAAATCTAGGTAACTTTTACAAGATAACTTTACAGGGATTAAAAATATTTCTAACATGAATGACACAAATCTTGAAATTTTTTATCTTTATTTTATTATAGTTTTATATATTCATTTTTTAAAAGAAAAATTTGTCTCGAAAGGATTAAGTAATGAATTTTTCATTGTTGGAAGAATTCCAAAGAATTAGCAAAATTGTGTAAATAAAGTTTTTAGTTTTTAGTTGCTAAATAATGCCTGATAATATCATTCTTATCTTAAACTATTGTAATTATTCATCTTTTTACTGCAAATGGTGTAATAATGCTATTCGAAATGAAAATAATAGATAAAATATTAAATTCAACATAAAATTTTTTTTAATTGTAAATTGTAAAATGTATGACAAATGATTTATTAATTCTTTTTTGATTGAGATTATAACTTCATTTCTTATTTTTTTCTTCTTTGGATTGATTGCTTTAGCGAAACGAATTATAATAATTAGAATGATAAAATTTTCATCGTAGAAAAAAGTCTATCCTTTTCTACTTTATATTTTTTGTTTCTCAGACCACCAACAATAGTTTGTTGCATGTTATGTAATGCGATATTGTTTCATATTTATAGCCACAGTGATTTTTTATTCTTACTATTAATTATCTGGAAATTATTCCGTATTGATAAAAGTAAAATTAAATTGTTGAATAAGAATGAAACATTGATATAAATATTTTAATATTCAATATTTTAAAAATTGAAATATTGAAAATTTCGTCATATATTTAAATATTCATTTTATTTAATAATTCTAGAAATTTAAATAAATATTCAAGATCTTGGAATTGCAAATAATTAATAATTTCAGAAATTCAAAATATATATGTATGAAAATTTAAAAAATTCAGATTCCCAGAAGCAAAAAATATTTAGAAATTTTTAATTTTTACGTTTAAACGAATCTAATTTTCGAAAATAAATTTGAATGATTCATAAAGATGAAATTTGGAGAATAATTCGAATTATTAATAACAAATCACACTTTCACAAAAATACGCAGAGATCGATGTATAATAATGCGATATCGATTTCTTTCAGTGAATGTCATGCTGTTGAGCTTTGCGCAATTCTTTTCATGTCATCATGTGACATATTAGCTTATGGTTGTAGCAAATTCAATAACGATGTTTCTTACAGTTCTTTTGTTATTCATTCCTCTGCCCAATTATATTTAATCAAGGTACTCGATGAATAGTCAATGGACATGTATCGAGGAACGTTCAATTAACAAATTTGTTTCAATTTATTTTTTACACCTAAGTAAAATTTTTACAAAGAAATAGTTATATCTATTTTAATTGATTCTAATCATTATAATCTTTCATACATCATTTGATTTGAACAAGATAGTGAAGTTGAAATTTAAAACTTAAATAAAATCTCTTTTATTATAAAAGAAAATTGTTATTATTTATTTTTTATATATAATAATATATAATATCTACAAATTTTCTTAGAAGCACACTTACTTCTTTTATTTATAGAATATTATTATTATTTAATTATAATATATTATTTAATAATATTCAATAGTATTTCATAGAAAAAAATATTTGAAAGTTACATAATTGATCAAATTGTTAATCAATTGTGAATAATATGAAATCTTGATCTGGAAGTTTAATGTGAAGGGAGGAAAATTATATCAGATTATTCAAGAATTGTAATAATTAAGTAATAATTAATTATATTACATATAAGAAGTTTTTTGTATCCTTTGTTAAGTTTATTTTTGTCATATGAGTGACTAACAAATTTCAAATTTTTTTATTCGCAATGCTCGTTATACGTTTCACGTCAACTGAGAAAACCAATTATTTAATATTTCAATTTAAATATTCAATTAACAAAGAAGCAGAAAAAATTTTCTCAAAAGATCATCATATTTCTTTTATTATACTGTCAACAACATAACATGATTATATTATTGTTACCTCGATAGAACACAATTCATTTATTTTAAATTTAATTTATTCATAATTTATTCAATGATTTCTTTGCAAATTCAAATTCAAAAAAATTTACAAATTAAAACTAGATTTTCCTGGATTTCGTGCGTTTCAAAAGTTTTGAATTCGAATTTAAAAATCAAGTTTTGGCCTTTTTTTTTTTTTTTTTTTTTTACACTTTTAACTCTGAGAACAAGATATTTTTACAGGCCGAGAAAAAAATCCAGACTTGAAAGGATAAATTTAGCATGAAAAAAACATGTCATAAAAAAACAAGGAATTCGTAGAATTCAAAAGTGCATCGAATTAAATTTCAAATCGATTATTTCAGCAATAAATTATTGCGTGAAATATCGTTTCATAAAAAACGAAACAAAAATATGCAATTTCTGCTAGTTCGTCCTTGGTCGCGTAATTATGTGATTATTTCCTTAACGTTATTAAGGATAAGACATATGGATAAGAATGAAATTATAAATTCTAGACACGAGTTAATCAACATGGTTAAAAATAACAGTCCTACTTTGGGTAGATGTGAATAGCCAAAGAGAAAGAAAAAAAACTTTCTCAAATTTTCAATATTCGATCGTGTAACAATTTGAAGAAATCTTGAGGCACGTGAACAAAAAATCAACAACAAGATTTTGCGTAATTACTGTATAGATTGAATAGAATATCTTTCTATGAAGGATTATTATAAGCTTGTCAATAAATAAATAAATCTGTCATAAATTGCTATAGTTGACTCATAAATATGAATGATAAGAGACAACGATCATTCGTTTCAACAATATTTATTTTCTTTCCAACAATTATCTATAAAAGAAAGTTAAAATTATATATTTTTAATTATATTTTATTTTTAAAAGAAAAAATTTTTAAAATTCTAATTCAAATATTTCTTTTTTTTCCTTTTTATTTTTTAAGAGATTAGTTTGAGTAGAGTGTATGAATTATTTTCACGTATCATTTTCTTTCTTTCCAGTTTCTTTATATTTATAACAAATTTTGTATTTGGATGCAAATAATTTTTATTTTTATTAAATTTTTCATTTTTTTATTTTTTTTCATAATTATTTTTTTAATTCTCTTCATCAATTTATTCAAAATCATGAATCTTTCATGGAATTCGGACCATTAAAGATTTTTCTTGATGATGACGCATTTATAATTGAAACTAGCCACCATGAAGGTTGTTACAACATGATGTCATTTAAATAAAAATTATACCGATTATAGTTTCAAAAGATCAAAACAGATAATCGAAAATTATGTTTTAATAAAATCATAAATTTAAAACTATTCTTAGTAATGGTCGACTATTTGTCGATGATTATTAATGATAATTGATCATTTAAAAATCGGGAAAAAGAAAAGAAAGTCACGGAAATCACATAATTTTTAATATTTTTCGAAGATAATTATTAATCCCTTAATACTTTCTATAGATTAGATACTTTCTAATAGATAAAAAAAGAATTGAAAAAATATAAAAATATTGGAAAGATTAAAGAAGATAGAAGGAAAATATACAAAACACATTTTTAATTTCATTTTTTTTTTTTTTTTTTTCTTATAAAATACTTTCATCTGTACAAATAAACAACTTTTAAAAATGAAATTGCAACACGGATATAATGGATGAAGAAAATAAACAAACGGATAATGCTTCTTTTATTGTTATCTTTTATTCTCGGTATTAAAATATTCTTCAATCGGTATCTTTATTATGATTTATCGTATTATTATATTTGCCTGGTATTTATTCAAGTATTATTATCTTTATGGAACATTGCATTTCCTTCTTCGTGAAAAAAAAAGGAACGTATCGCCATATTGTTATATTATGATTAATATTAGAATGTAAGAAATATAAAATATAAAATGATATTAATTACTTGATTAATTACTACACGAATTACTTTAAAAAACTTTTTTTGATCGAAATTTATTTTTGCTAAATTAATCGGTAATCAAATTTTTCCATCTTGACAAATCAATATCGTGGATGATTTGCAAGATGGAAATGTGATTTGAAACTTGATTTGTTGAATTGTTTAAGTAAGGTAAGAAACAAACTAATCGTTATATATAAGATATATTTATTATTTCTCATCGTCTGAGATGAATGATATGATTGAAGTAACTAAAAGTAACGTAGGAGAAGATAAAAATTCGCACATCGATGAGCAATGAATTTTTTTCTAACTTTATGCTTACATAAAGACTAAAATAGACATAAAAAAAACAAAGAAAAAAAATAAAGAAATGATTAACTTGTTTCTTAATTTTTGTCGGTAATACGTGTTTTAAATTTTATTCGATGAATTGTGATTCAACTTGATCGATAAAATCGTTCGATTTATCACGCTATATTGAAAAAAATTTTCGAAAGTGATAAGAATGCGAAGAAAGAGAGTGAAAGTTAGTGGAGTAAAAAAAAAAATAAAAACTTTAAATTTCACGACATTTTATAAAGTATATGGATCACAATTGCTAATCCTAAAAGTGACTCAAATGCGGCGAATTTCCACCAAAAATATGTGACGTCGTATTACACTCACTCTCATTGCACGTTAGGCAGTCACGTGATAAAAGTTCCATCAAAATCAAACATCACATCATCTCCTCTCTGCCTTATTTCCTTTAGAAAAGATTAAGTGACGTAGCATTATCCTCACTGATACGTTAGGCAGAGGCATGTCATGAGATACATTGATGCATAATTACGTGACATGCTTTTGTCTAATTTCTAAAAAAGATTACATAACCTCATTATCATTGGTACGTAGGATACGTTACTTGTTTGAGCAAGTGTCTGATCACGTACGTGTATTTGCTTAATTTCAATAGAAAAGAATACATTATCATCATTATTATTGATACATTAGACAGAGACGTGTCATACGATACATTACTTGATTTGGAGGGATATCTGATCACGTGACGTCATATTATTACTGTCATTGATATATTAGGCAGAGGCACGTCATGTGACACGTTGATTTTGACGTATTGCTTAATTTCCATTAAAAAAGAATATGTGACGTCAAATTATCCTCACTGTCATTGATACGTTACACGAAGGCGCGTCGTACGACACGGTGCTTGGTTTGGACGGGTGTCTGATCACATGACGTCACATTATCCTCATTGTCATTGATACATTAGGCAGAGGCATGTCATATGACACGTTGCTTGGTTTTGGCGGATGTCTGATCACGTGACTTGTATCTAGCAATGGCAGTGGGGATAATGTCACGTATTATCCTCCTGTGGAAATTCGTCGCAATTGAGCCACTTTTAGTGGTAGAAAGGATGGTATACTATGCTCGTCCGGCAACTATGCACTGGAACGTGTTAGATCGCTTCCAGTTTTGCATGGCTGAATCCATCGCTCGATTCCACGCATTCTCGTAATTTTCCTGTTACGAGAATGTTGAATAATCGATATGTAATCAGGAAAAAGTTTGTTTCTTTAGAAAAATATGTGAAGATGTATTTGAACGTGTCAAAATATATCGATCGATCTTAATTGATGAAATTCAGAAATTTAAATTAAACTTGTCGCATATATATACACGGTATACAAGCGCCATCGATCGCGTATATACATTGGCAAGGGCAACGGACTCAGCAGTCGAGAATAGACAATTGGAGAGAGAGGACGATGATAGCACTTATGCTAATTGTATTGATATTATATTATTAAATTTTATTTATTCTCGAAAATTATAATAATTATTATATTGCGATTATTATAGCGTGATAAATTTTTAAACATATTTTTTTTTCTTTTTACTTATTTTTATATATTTTCGTGTAATAAATAAATCACGATCGATCTTTGAAAAATCAATGTTAAACAAATACAAAAACAATTTAATTTTTGAATTGAATAAAATTAAATATTAGATTTTAAATTCATATTTTGTTTTAACTTCCGTTTTAATTTAAATTAAATTGCTTATAACTTAATGAAGAATGTATCAAATGAAATGTTTCGTATTGTTTGTTTAATATCAATCTATCTATCGATGATCATTCACAAATATTCTATCGATATTTTTTACAGAGTGCTAAAGCATATATATATATATATATATATATATGTATTTAAAGAGTCTATTCTAGGAACGAAAACAAACGCAAAAGTTTGTATACAAAAATATTATTTATCAAGTTACAAACAATCGAAGTTTGCATTAAATAAAGCAACATGAAAATAGAGATGACGATGCGACAGAGAACGCTTCTTTAACTCAGACCTTTCAAAGATGTTGCGCAAATATATTAACACTCTGTATACATTAATTAACAAATTATTAAACAATGATAATAAATATAAATATATTAAAATAGATGTAGCGAAAGACAATTATTTTTGAAATCGAAGATAATGCTATCTTCGAACTTTGTTCTTCTCGCTTATTTGCAATTCATCATTTCGATAAATTTTTCGATTTTATCTAAATAACACAATCTTTTTTTGGAAAACTTTTTTCGTATGGAAAACTTTTTTCCCCATAAAATTGATGAATGGACCAAATGGAGATGTAAAACGACATGTAAGTTACATATGCCAGATCGTTTCATTTGATCGGATTGCAAATCGAATTCTAAAGCCAATTTCCCTTTAAAATTACGCAAAACTGGGAAAACGTGCAACAAATCTTATGTAACTCTGAACCTTTCACGCTGAAGAAAATCTATGTCAATGACGCCAAGTCTAAGTCAACATGTAAAAGAAATTGTTAGAATTGAAAGAAAGCAAAGGAAATCCTTCTTCTCGCAATTCTTTTCCTTTAAAAAATTGTAATACCTTTTCCGCGTCCGAGAGATGAATAAAAACGATTGCGATGTGGTGTGATTTGAATAAGGAAAAAAATGTCTAAATTTAAAAAAAAAATTTGAAGATACAACTCGATGAAAGAGAAAATAAAGGTTTTATTCATTATTTGTCAATAAAACAAAGAGATATAATCATCTTGCGAATTTTAATCGCATAGAGATTCGCTTCGATTTGCAACCTTGATAATCTAATTTAAATATAATATAGTTAAATATAAGCGCATAGAGAACGGATTAGAATTGGATGGAAGGCACGTTTTAAATTACAGTACGATAAAGCATAATTGAATAATTATCAACTTGAGTGCTATTAACTCAATTCTAAATTAAAAAAAATTTTAGAATTTTACTCGGGGCTATCTCGATCAAATGAATAAGATACAGAAAATAGATTAGATTTGTTTAGTCTTTCAGTTACGTTATACGAATTATATTATATTTTGGTCAATCGATAAATTCGATCGAGATCTCGAAATTTAAGTGAAATTTTTAATCAATTGACCTAAGAGCCAATGTAAATAAATAATGATATTACTTCGAATTAACACATTCAATCTGACAGATCTAAAAATCGATGATTTTTTTCATACGTTTTGATATTTTTTTAAAGTCTTTATAGGATATGCGAACGGATGTAATATAAAGAGTTTGCGAAAATATAAAGAAACATCGATAAAAATGAGTTTATCGACGATCACAATGCACTCTGCCAATATCTCTAATTTTTCTTTTCCTCGATGTATTTTCAAGGCTCTTCTTGTTCACGAGCAAATAGAGAGAAAAAGATCCATTGATATTAACGTTAGAATTTTTCCCAATTGTATTATCTGGTTCAGCATATCGGCACAGATATTGGAAAATTCTTTTGCATCGTTTACTCTTTGAAAGAAAACATATGATGCGATCGTACGCGTCATCCGCTGGATAGAAAATCTTCGTGATGGATACGTTCACGTCATCCGCCGATAGAATAAAAAATTATGTATTATACGTTCGTGTCATTCGCATTGAATGTGTTGAGAATTGCATAAAGATCTGATATTTCTGTAGAATATGCTAGTGAAAATGATACGAGTAAAAAATTACAATTTTAAAAGAAACGATAATTTTAACGATTCGAATTGTAAAAAAAATGTCAAATTATAACTTCACTTACAAGATTCTCTCAGGAAAAAGTGCAAGCAGCAATAATTTCTTACCAAATATTTCATAATTTTGAATTATTATTTTTTTTTTTTTTTCAGAAAATACAATTCTTAAAAAATCAGATATTCTTCGATCAACGATTTCGACAGAAAGTTGAATTAATTAATTTGATCTCTCTGAATCACATAAGATAAATTCGACGTTTATTTTTGTAACGTCCATTATTTTGGTTCACGTTCCAGGAACGATGAAAAGATGTCACAAGCTGATTTAAATGGCACCTCTGAGAATTATCAAATATCGAAACTTCGCCAAGCATTTCCACAATTTTGCGCAGTCAGCGCGAAAAATCTGTTGATGATCACATTTGGATCCACTTTGGGATTTTCCACCATTCTTATCCCCGAGTTGCAGAAGGACAATGCCGAGATTCCAGTTTCCATAGAGGAATTGACGTGGATCAGTGAGCATCTCGTTTACCTTGCTTCTTACGAAACAAAACAAAATTGTCGAACGTGAATACTATCTTGTTTCCCCGAACAATATTTCATTCAAACAATAGAATTCGTATTCAAATTGTAAACAATTTTTTTTTTTAACAGAACCATCTATATATTACATATATTATATAATTTTTATTCCATGTGTGATAAAGACAAAATAATTTAAGAGTCGTCGATATTATTCTGTTTTGCGATTATTATACTTAAATCATGTATAGGCAATAAAATTATAAATGAGGATGTAGCAAATAATAAAGCTAACTTGATTCTTTTCAGAAGAATTTTCCTTTTAGTAATAATTGCAATTTTTATAATAGTACGGTAGTAAAAATACAAATGAGGATAAGAGCTAACAACTTAAGGCGAATTTTCTAAATTTCTTATAATAAATTTAAAAAAAAAAAATAGATTTAATTTTTAAAATAAAATGTGCAATTCTAGTGAAATTCTATATTCTAATAAACCTTGTATCAAAAAAATTGTAAAAATCAATTTTAATCATTGCAAAAATTATCTCGAAGCATTTCTACAAATTTCCTATAAATAAAAAAAAAAAGTTCAACTTAAAAGGAGCCTAAATCGTTTAAACAATACATTTTCTTTTTACCAATATAGGTAGTCTGAACTTGTTCTTGGTCCCAATTGGTTGCTTTGCCAGCGGGCCAGTATCGCAATTCATAGGACGAAAAAGGAGTATGATGCTTACCACACTCCCATTCGTGGCAGCCTGGGTTATTTATTATTACGCCACAACAGCTGCAATGTTATTCGTAGCATTGGCCATGACGGGCCTAACAGGAGGCCTTCTTGAGGCTCCTGTGATGACCTACGTGGCGGAAGTGACGCAGCCCCACTTACGTGGCATGTTATCCGCCACCTCCACCATGTCCATTATTTTAGGCATTTTCACTCAGATGTTAGGTGGCAAGTTGGGTAACTGGAGAACTGTGACACTTGTCAATTTGATCTATCCGCTTATATGCTTCCTTGCTCTCTGTGCCGTGCCTGAAAGTCCTTATTGGCTTGCTGGTAAATTTTCTTATTTAATGTTCTTTCACCACATATCATACTATTATATTATTATACTACTATATTACTATTATATTATTATATTACTATGTTCGTGCAATTTTAAAGTAAATGATAACTTGTTAATAATGTATGCATACAATTTGACGAATAAGTGTATTAAATTTACAAATGATGTTAAATAATGATTCATTGTGTGCGTTGTAATTGTTTTTTTTTATCTTTGGTACAAATAAGCGTAAAGATAATCAACGAAAATAAATTTTTTTTATCTTTCATTATGCATTCATGAAAATATTATTAACATATAATTATATTGATATTTTTGAAAATGAATAAAAATAAATAGATCGTGTTTAAACTCGTTTTAATCGAAAAATCTTTCTATGTATAAATATTTTTTTAAACGTATCAAATATTTTTTTATAACGTATCAAAAATGAAATTTATTATGCGATAACTAAAGATCATTTTAAATAATTTGATTTATTATATATCTAGGATGTGGACCAGGATAAAGATAGAAGTAAATAACAATCATAAATCTTCTACTTAAAGTTTTCAAAATTTTCTCAATTCTAATCTATTGTCACTCTTAATATAATTTTCAAATATTTACATTAAAAAAAGAAGTCTATACTCAAAATTCAAATATCGGATAAATTGCAATTGAGATATTAAAAAAAAACATCTTTTTAGCAAAAGGGAGACAGAAAGAGGCAGAACAAGCTCTCTGCTGGCTTCGAGGTTGGGTCAGTCCAGCTCAAGTAAAATCAGAGTTCCAAATTATTTGCGAGGACGTGAACAAACCTGCAGCATCTCAGGAAAAAATATGGAAATCCTACAGCAAGAAAACTTTCTACACGCCCTTCCTTTTGGTGACCAGTGCCTTCTTCATAGGCAATTTCGGCGGCACCAACACTCTTCAAACTTACGCTGTGATGATTTTCATGAAGCTGCACACGCCAATCGAAAAATATACGGCTGCTGTATTCCTTGGTCTAGCTGAATTAATAGGCACGATGATTTGCGTGTTTGTTATTCATTTTGCTGGTAAACGATTATTGTCTTTTCTGTCCGTCGGTGGAACCGGACTTTGTTTCTGTTTAGCGGCAATTTATGGATATTTGGACGATAGTCGCATCATTAATTCTGAAAATCTCACATGGTTTCCCACTACACTGTTGATCGGTGCTGCTTTCTTATCTCATGGAGGGATCAGGTTACTCCCTTGGGTTCTGGCAGGAGAGGTTTTTCCTGTGAACGTGAGTTTGTTAAATTCAAATCTAAATTCAATTGTTATCTCAATAACCAAAATTGTAGACACTATTAAATTTCTAATTTTAGTAATTTTTTAATAATCAAATCCAAGCTTAAAATAATTAAATGAAAAATAAAAACGATTTAGCTCTATTTAAAAGTCTTAATTTTCTGTTAAAGAGAAAATAAAGTTTTAGTTTTATGCTAAATAAAATGATATCTGGATATTGATATAAGGATTAAATTTAGTTAAAAAGCAAAAATATATAATTAAATTGCGAATATTTATATAAAATCAAATTTTGAATATTTCATATTTTAAATATTTTATGTCTTTTTTCATATCATATATACTCTCTAAAAAAAATTTATAAAAGTATAAATAAACGTGCACAAAAATAAGATAGCAAAATATCGAAATTATGCCTCATACAAAATCAACGTTTTTTCACGAAAGTTCCTAATTTTCCTTTTCCTTGTTGCATTTTCGACAATTCTATTATTTATGAGGAAAGAGAGAGAAAAAGAAATGGCCAACTGATTATATGATTATAAATTGCAATGTATAAATTTTTTGCAATATATCCAGACTGAATTTCAATTATTAATCAAAAATATTCAATTTAATTTCGTTGAAGTAACGATCTTGATACAAAAATCGCAATTGAAACAATGGCGTTGTATTTTTTGAAGCTAATTTTTTATTTTATTCCAGGTACGAAGTAGTGCGACAGGAATTTCCGGTTCTATAGGTTATATTTTCAACTCTATCTCAAATAAAATATTCCTCTATATGGTCAATGGAATGTCCTTACCTGGGACGTTTTTCTTTTACGCTTTGATCAATTTCGTTGGTGGTATTCTACTCTACTTCATATTGCCAGAAACAGAAGGAAGATCTCTGAAAGAGATCGAAGAGCATTATGCCGGTATCCAAAGTTTGAAGACTAGACCCAAAAAGGAAAAATTGGCATTCAAGGAAAAATGGGCTGCTGCAAACCCAGCTGTAATATATGATGATATTGAAAGCAAACTTTAAATTTTAAAAGAAGAATAGAGATTGTAGAATCTCTATCTTTAAATGAATTCAAAAGTTTTATTCCCACCACCGATAGATATGTGTAACTATCGATATATGTTTCTATCGGAAGTTCCTTGTTTAGTATAAATAAATTTAGTTTTAATTTCTATGAACTCTATGAGATCTATAAAAATAGCTTGTAAGAGAAGAGCTTGAAGATATGTTAAATACGCATTTTATCCGTATAAAAGACAGTGAATTGTGAAATGTTCGTAAATATTTTTGATATTGCGATATAAATCATTTGACAAGAATGTGTTCACATAATTAACTTTAAACGGACACATAATAAAATACAATTTATTTTAAGAATATTTTCAAATAAGACTTATCATTTATTATGAGATAAATATTTTTATAGAAAAGAAAATATGAAGCAAAAGATTAAACAACAATGATCTTTTATTCGCTCAATAAATTAAAAAATTTAATTGTCAAAATTCGAGAAAAGAATCTTAACCTCGTGATTTTTGCTCATATTGGATTTTTTCAATCGAAAATTTTTTTTTCGCAGATATTTATTAATGTTTGGTTTAAAAAACCAATCAACCACATCCAGAAAATTTTTGTGCTGCAAGATGTTGACGATATTGACAATTTTCTTTGGGATTTTTGGCACTTTTAGATTTCGCGTTTTTAGTCTATGTATATCCTTGTTTTTTAATATTCTCGAAGTACCATTTATGTTTTGATATTTTCTCAAGCTGAAGTGGGATATTTTTAAGAAAATATAATTTAAAAATTTGTCATTAAATAATGCAAATGAATTTTACGTTGAGATTTGTTTGAGTTTCGCTTCCTTGATTTGTTGTTCGGCTTCCAATCGTTTCACTACGTGTTTCTCGCAGCTTACTTCGGGCTCTAATACAATTTTTTCTTTTATATAATTATCACTTGAATTACAAGGATTTTGAGACATATTTAAATCGTCAATTTTGCAACAGAAACAACATTCATTATAATATATCTTGAAATTTGTATAAATAAATTAATGTAAAATACAAACTGAATTATATTTCATAACAAACAAAATTTCGGTTGCTATGCCGTCAATTTCTCAAGAGTATTTAAAACAATAATTTAAAATAAATCGAAACAATCAATCGACAAAAAAATAAAGAAATCAGAGTTGTCAGAGAATTTTTCATGGTACGCGTAACATCATCGAGGTTATCCGTACTGTATAGTATCACGAAATGGCAATAGATGGCGGCATCGGTATTGCATCATGTCAAATAATGCAATCCCTACCAATCTCAATGATTCCCTCTCTCTACGTATTCTCATTTCGTACTGGAATTAGTAGAGGATTAAAGAAAATATAACTATATAATATATAAATTTAATAATTAATTCTCAATTTTGTTTCTTCATTGTACTCAATATAGAATTAAACACTATGTGTATAATATTTTTTCATTTACCGTATAAAAAAGTACTTGCCAAAAAAAAAGAACTTGATATATTTGAGAAATAACCAAAATATATCATAAAAAAAAATTCCAGCGTAAAAAGAGTGAAAAAATTATAATAGTGAATTTAAAGTGAATTTAAAAGTGAATTCCGAATAAACTTTAAATTAACATTGTATTTGTGAATATATTTTATTACATTTGTTGATAAGATAGTAAATAATATATAAAATATAAAATCACTATAAAAAATATTTCTAATATTTTCTATGATTTATTAAAAAAACAGAAATTATATTTATCTCGATCAAAAACATCATAAATGACATTATAATATTTACTTTATCTATGCTATTGTTGATTATTCATCAATCGAACAATATTATTATCAGTTTAATTGATATATTATATGGTATAAATGCGTCGAAGTTAGGCATGTGTTCAATTTTGTATTTATGCACGAATATGGTATTTAAAGTACATGTTTTATTATTAATGTTTTAAATGTATACATCTTATTTGCAAATATTCTAAGCACATACGTTTATTCAAAGTTTGACAATTTCGCGCGTTTTATTCGCAAAAATGTCGGTATCTACATTTCATTGTTATGATGGACGGAAAAAAACTATAATATTATCGATAAATAATATTATCTACTAAAGATAAATTAAATTTTTGTTTGGTATTAAAATAATAGAGATGATTTAATTATTTTTTTTTCTTTTTAGTAACAAATCGTGAACAGAATTATATCTATAGGAATATTTCATTTTTATTCGTTCATTATTATTTCGTTTTTATTCTGTTAAAAATTAATTGATTTATTAATTTGTTTTTAAAATTTTTCTATATTGTTGATGAATTTGATTAAAATCAAGAAATGATACTTTTTGTATAAATAAATTCTTTTCAAATTGATTTGTTAATATCATTTGTTAATATCGTATCAGTATTACAATATTATTATTATATACATATCTATATAAAAAGGAAAGATACAATTTATGCTAAATAAAAATAAGATTTTACTTTCTTCATTAACATGATCTATGGAATATAGTGAATGAACTATAGTTCTATGTGTACAAGATTTCATTTTTGTATAACCAAAGTAATCGAATGCCAGATAAAATCACGAGATCCAGAATACACAAGTTAACAGTCACCTCTAAGGACAACAGATGGTAATTATCGATAACGGTGAAATTCAATCAAAGGTAAACTTATTATTTACGAATTATTAATCAATCTTTACAAAGAAATTCTCTTTTTTTTCATTCTAATTCGTGTCGATAAAAAGTGTCTTAAAAAATGAAAAAAAGAAAAAAATAAACATAAGGATAATTGCAAATTCGTATATATTTATGATTCAAAATTTAAACGAAAATTTGATAGTAATTTATATAGATTGAAAAAATGCATTAAATTGCAGGAATTACATTAAAAGATTGCATCAATTTACAAATTATAAAATTATGAGGAAATGAAGCACAGTTCTATGATGACATTAATAATTAATTGAACAATTACAAGCAAATGCTACACAGTTTTTATCTATGAATAATAATTTGTAAATTTAAAAATTACACTATTATACCACTGTTCAGAAAAACCAAAATCAGGATATTCATTAGGAAGATAATTATAAAACTGCATGAACCATTTGGAAAAAACATAATAAATGCGCGGTCATACTACGCTATACCACTTTTTTATATCCTTTTTTTTATATTCAGCGATACTGGACGATTTAACAGAGTCAATAACCATAAACAATTACAAATTCGACTATTAGATGATATCGCTAACGATTTTCTAGTGAATATGTTTATTTCGAAAATGGAAATTAATATGAGAAAATCATGGGATTATCTTATCGAATACGAAGATATTGAATATTAAAGATTTATTTTTGCATAACAAGTTAAAAAATTACACGTCATCTCATATCATAAGCAATTCCATTAACATCGACTCCAACTTTAAAACAATTGCTTTTACATAAAGACATCGCATAAACAAATATAGGTCATAAATGTTTTGTAAAAATATCAACATCGCCATCATTTCCATATATGTCAATGTCGTGGAAAATATTTATTCAAACTTGAATTTCATTACCAATAATCTTTACAATAAAATTGTGGTTTTCGATAAAGAACATAACAATCGTTGAATCAATTGAAAACGATTTCGAATAAACTGATTTCCGTCAAATCGCAATTTTCCAATTATAACTGAGATCTGATATTTCTCATAATTCCTTATATCATTAGACCAATCCTGGATAAGAAATTGTTTGAAGATATCAATAAATAAACTCACAGATATATAATTCTATATAAACGTGAACATATTGATTGATTTTGTATTGTTTTCATTAGCCATTCTCTTTGCAATGGACTAAAAATATCTGTATAAAAATTAAATTATTATGTACGAAAACGCACCATTGAAGGTTATCAACCTTGCGCCAATAGAATTATGTAAAATTTTTTTTCACTATTTGAGAAACTAATATGCTCAATTTTAATATCGTAAAATTTTTGGTCAATTCTATAATATTTTTCACTAAACAAGAAATTATATATATTGAAAACACGATGAAATATAGACAAAACAGAGATTGCAGCATGCTAACATATTAAATTAATTTATCTATCCAGTTGACTTGATGTCAAAAATTAAATTCGAAAAGTAAATCTCGAGAAGATTTTCTCATCAAGCAAAGAATAATGGTCTATAGAAAACAATCGTTAAATCATTTAAATATATTTTATCGAATAGAAGAAAAATTGTTCACGAATAATTAATAGTTCAATTTGCGATCAAAATTGAAACAAATTGAAACAATATTAAACTGCCGTCTACTGATTTCTTTATCATTCAATTTCAATGATCTTTTAAAATGTTATTCCCGCTCATTTTTTAATTGGCATTTTTTTAACGAACGTGTTTCTAGATTAATTTCAATAATATTGCAACGAGTTATTAAGCAACACATTCAAAAGATTAAATAGAATTGTATCAAATTATAATGTAATCGGATTATAATCGATTAGTAAGCTATACTTTAGATCCATGAGTGCCTTTACTCAAGAAATTTATGTAAAATTGCTATGAGCATTCTCTGAAGAATCTATATAGAAAATACACACACCACCATTTGTATGAAGATTAATCAAACGTGATTTTTGTCTCTGTAGAAAATATAGAAAAGAAAAAATAGAAGACCGTGATGCGTGACAAAATATTGGGATATTATTGGGGAATTATTATCATTGAGAAGTTAAAAATATATTTATTTATTTATTATTATTAAAAAAATGAATCAAAAACTAAAAAATTTACTATAATATTTACATATAAAGAATAATTTAACTTTTACGTTAAATTTAATTTATTCATATATTTTTTTTAACGTATCCATAAGTATACTTCGAGATATTTATAGAAATTATAAAGATTCAAAATTTTCATGTAATTTAATAAAATTTTAATTTATTAAATTTTTTATTTTACTATAATTATTGTACAAAATAATTACAGGAATTTGCAACGTTGGATAAATAAATATAAAAACTTTCCTAATTTATTTATTAATTTATTACTTTAGTATTATAGTATCATAATTTTTCCTAATAACTTTCGTTATTATTGATTTATTAATTGATATTACATAATGATATGATATTACATAAAAATTGTCATCTTTCAGATGAAAAAATTTTCTCTGTTAAAAGTTTCTTTAGTATATAAAAAAAATTTTGTAATGTAAATATATATTTATATATTTTTTTGAAAAATAAATTTTTTAAATATTGATCTATGAAATAAACAACAAGGATATTAAAACTCATTCTGTAAATTATGATTATACCATAATATTATTAATAATCTTCAAAAATCTTGTGAAATTATTTATTTACTATTTCCAAATTTTTTTTTGATTTTAAGAATTGATTTAATTTTAAAATTTGCTCAAATTATTAAATATATATATAAAATCAATTTATTCCTTTTAATTCTATGGAGATTTAATACCTTTGTTAAGTAATTTCATCCTAATAATTTCATGATATATTTTTTATGACTTATAGTCTCAATCATTACAATCATTTACAAAGTTAAATTGAACAATTGCAAATTTTGCTGGACAAAACTCACATTTATTAATTCTTCTTATTTTTCTTTTGCAATCTTCTTTTACAACCAATTTACATGTATGAATTTTAATTTTTATATATCTATAACAAATAATTGTAGTAAATAGAAAAATGTTAATTAATCAATTCTTTTCAATAAAATAATTTAATAATTTAATAAAATATATAATATTATATATATTATGTATTATATTATATTATAAATGTATTATATTATATTATATTATATTATATAATAAACATAGATATAAATAATAGAATCCATATACTAAATAGCATTTTTTGTTGGAATTGTTG